AGACGTCTCATCTTAGTGTATCTATATCTTAATGTATATGTAAACCATCAATTAATGAATGGGTACGTTATTCAAAAACTAGTCATCTTTTTTAATGTACATGTTGACAATTTGTGTCTATAGAGAAGAAGATATATTACGATGATGTAAGTTTTTAGAATAGGTGTTGCAATTACTTTATGACATTGTTTTTATTTTTTGTAATTTTGAAGGGTGCTAGTTATGTTTATTGGTTTGAATTTTCAATAGGACCTAATTCAAAAGAAAATTGATGCGTGATTTTTTTTGAAATTCTAGTAGGCCAAAAAACTCTGGACTTGTTTGGTTTGTGTTTATAAAATAATTTTTTGTTCTCAAATTTCTAAAAACAAGAGAGATGTTGTTTGGTTAGATTTTTTTGTTCTCCAATTTTTTGAAAATTCTAGAAATTAAAGTGTAATTTTAGAGAACAACATTTTATTGTTCTCAGTGTTTCTAAGACAATGAAAACATGGGAACAACCTCATCTCCAAATTAATGAGGTCTCTCCTTCAAGTTTCGTTAGAGACAAACAAATGGTGACTATAATCGAACTTGACTAAATTCTCTCTACTTTTCCATCGCTCTCACTATAGCCTTTTCTCTCTCACACAATTTTTCTCTTCTCTCTCTCTCATGCAATCCATTTCCCCTCTTTCTCTGCAGTAGATCGGTATATGTATAGATGTGTGTATATATGTATTGTGCCGGGTAGTGAGTGTGTGTATGTTTTTGCTATAGGAAAATATAATGGAGAGAGAGATAGGGAATAATTTTATAGTGATAATTTTTTTAGATATTATTTTTAAAGATGCAAACCAAAAAGACGCTCTATTTTGTAGTTCTCTAAATTTTTAAACGTGATACCTAATTTTCTAATTTTTATACCCAAAAAGAAAGGCAATAATGTATTTTATCTGTTAAAGATGTTGTACTGGGTTACGGTATAAACCTCAAATGTTAAAAAGGTCACCAGCCATGAGCACGCCAATACCCATGGGCCATGGTGAACCCCCTCGGATTGTTTGGTTAGTTATACTATTTTGGATTGGATTGGATTGAGTTGCGTAAACCAATTCAAACCCCCTAGAAGATAATGAGATGTGAGTATTTTTTTAAAAATTTATTTGGCTTTAAGTACCATTTTCAAATTTATCCTATTTTAAGTTGTCTTTCTTATCAAATTGTTGTTCATAAGTACATATTTTTAAATATTTTTAAATTCTTTTTGAAAATGTGTTCCATAATTACCTCTATGACATATAGTGCATACTTAATTGACAACTTTTATATTTTTAGTATCTAAATATTAAAATGTGAGACTTTTAATATTTCTTTAATATTTGTGTTTAATTTGAATTTTGAAATTTCAAACGATATATATATATATATATATATATATATATATATATATATATATATATATATATATATATATATATATATAAAATAGTAACATCAAACAGTAACATGCTCAATAAAAATTTAATCATTGCAATAGAGTAACATCATATGTGAATATTTATTCTGTTGTGGAAGTGTTACTCTATTACAATGATTAAGTTTTTATTGAGCATGTTATTGTTTGATGTTACTATTTTTTTGTTGAGCGTGTTACTAATTACTATTTTTTTGTTAAGCATGTTATTATTTTATATATATATATAATTTTAATGCTAGTACAATTTCTAAGATATGTGTTGTTAATACTAATACAATTCCCAATTTAAGAATTTTTAGTTTTTTGAAACAAATTTTAATTAAATATAACTATTGAGCGTATTTTAGACGACGGAGATCAAAATAAATTTATGCTTAAATAAATTTTTTAAGTGTAACTATAATTGGATTTGTGCGATAGGTTTGGATTGGAATCTTATTCAGTTGAAAAATTGTAGGAGTGGAATAGAAAAATCATGTGGGCCCAATAATGTGACATAAATGATGTATCCTTTATTACAACGTTGGCATTGTCGCTTGACTTTAATGCTCTTTGTTCAACTCAATTTTTCTTTAAAGCAAGGACCGTATAATAATTTAGATTCTAATCCCAATGGGGTAAATTTGGAGTATTTTGAAACTCACCTTTGGTGGGTTATTCAGATCGAACATTCTATAACGGGTGGGAACTTCAAAGTAACGTTTTGAGATAATTGTTACGTTTGATCGCTCTTGACCACCCTTGTACCTAGCCAAAAAAAAAAAAAAAAAAAACCCCACGTGAAAAATCTATTATTTATATTGAGTTGAGAATAACCTAATTGTTTAATACTTTTGCTTAAAAATGAACCAAGTATGAGTTATGTAAGACATCGGATTATTTTTGCTCCAATCCCATTCATTAATCTACCCTTTTACCATAAACCACACGACCCCTCAACTTTTATTGCTTTTTGGCCGGTCTTCTCAGTTGCTGTGGATTATCTTTCCCATGAAATGATTGAACAATATGTCACACCTTTGGAAGGAAACAGCTTTGTTTTATAAGACACATTTAGAATGAAACAGCTTTGTTTTATAAGACACATTTAGAATGAAACAACTTTGTTTTATAAGACACGTTTAGAATGAAACAACTTTGTCTTATACGACTAATGGGTTGTCATATCAGGCAAGCCAACCTTAATCCCTCAAATCTCCAATAGTGAAAATCAATGAAAACAAGCTCTGGTCTTATTTTTCATTAAATTTTTATACAAAATGCTAATTGACTTCCACTCAACAATGACACTGGATCTATATTAACTTAAATACTTTTTTTTTTCTCTATTTTCAACCTTATTCAATAACCAACCCAACTAAAAAGCGACATACTTGAATTGACAAGAAATTATGACACTTTTAAACCCATCTTTTCCAGAGCTGATGTGGGAATTGTGTCCAGATATGCAAATGGGTGTCTTCTGGATGCAGTCTCTCTTTCAATTCCAATAGTGTCGAGCCTTTACTCTGAGGCAGCTGCAGTCCGGTAAGGTTGTCTCATGGCCCTGACTTGAAAATTTCATCGAGCCATAATCGAAAGCGACAATTAATCCCTTATCTAACTCTCCCAAATACAGTCCTTGAATTACCAATACAGTAGCTCATTAGGTAGCAAACTTTAGACTTTGTTAACCGTTACCTCATGACTGGGTGGCTAATCCACCACCTGGTTAGGGAGCTAATTTTTACCGACCGTAATCAATCCTTAAACAGTTAAATGAAAGTTTCTTTCCTTCTAAAAAAAATTGACAAGAAATGATCTTTCAAAAATGAAAATAGAAAGAAAATGTATACGGATCGTTAGAGCACGTCTTATTCTTCTTATTACCTTCTTGGACCCTTCAATCTGATCTAACCTAGGAGATTGGATAATGATGGCCAGACGATGCAAATACTTTAATATAAATGTAGGTATGATTATGACAATGAGATTGACCTTTGATCTTGGCAATTCCCTAAACTGGGTTTTCAGATTGTGATCCTAATCCTCTCTAAGTGGGATTATGCTATATTCAGGAGGCTAATTATCATTTACAAGCCCAACATCTCTAGTTTCATTTGGTATGCTTCTGCTGCTTGTGAATAGCAGAGTTATCTAAAACTTACTCATCAAAACCATCCGGATTTTGTACCTCCAGATCCATTCTTGTATTTAATTTTTTCAATTTCCACATATTAATAATGGGAGAGACTTTTTTAAATTCGATCAAATCGATTGAGAATCTCATCATCTGTTAGGTGGACCAACTGATCAATCGAGTTGGGAGTTGGGCGTCTATGTCACAAAACCTTTCTCTAGCCAAGAATCTCATTGTTGATCGAATCAGGGTGGATCCAATTAATTTGCAAGTGAAAAATCTATCGTTTTAAAACTTAAAAAAAAAAACCATAGAAAAGAGGAAAAATCAATAAAAGAAGAGCTAGACAAACAAGTGAGAATGAGAGTCAAGGGGCTCTCAATCTCTAGGAAGATTGTGTATAAGATCTGATAATCTAAGCCTTACTTCTTCTAGTCGACTGCTATTTGTCTGTGTTTTATTACAAGTAATCATTCTCCCGTTCATTCATTTCAACGGTACTTGAATCTTAAGTGGCCAAGTAGATTCTGCCCCACTAAGTTCTGTTCTGCATCACTCGCTGATCACAACTCTTCATGGACATCATACTTGGGGCACATTTAAAATTCCCAATTGCCCCCTTGCATATCATTACACCCAATCCATTACTTTGTGCAGAAATTCACTTATGATTCACCCAAAATATAAACTTTTTTTTTAGAACACATAAGAACTTCAACAAGTTGGGAGAGGGCTAAAGGTAAAACCCAAGTTAAAAACCCTATAAAAATTGCTCTTTTCCACTTGGTTTGGCCTTGGCCTCTCGTGCTACAAAAGTTGAAAGAAAACAGTGTCAACGTCGCCAACTATGTCGTTATAATATGCGGGTTTTAATAAATTACTCTAAACTTATTGAAAACGAAAAAAATAATAACATCAAATTGCTTATTAAAATAAAACTTCAATAACTACCATCAATCATGATAACCTAGAGTTGGTAGAATATATACCAAGTGAGTGGACTACCATCTTTTTGACTATATAGTCCATATAAAATAAGGGGCAAATTTTATTTTGTACCTTGAAAGATTTTAAGTTTTTTATTTTATACATTTAAAGATAAAAATTTTTATATTACATCGTCAATAAATTAAAAGTGTTATAATATGATTTTTCTGTTAGTTCTCTGTTAGTTTTTCTGTCAGTATCAATGGGTTGCCTTTTGACGAAAAAAATAATGAAAGCTAACAGAAAGGTCATATTACAATATTTTTGATACATTAAGGATGCAATATCAAAATTTTTATCATATAAGGTACAAAATAAAAAACTTGAAATCTTCCGGGCATAAAGTGCAAAAAACCCTTTTTTAAGGAGTTATCAAAAGTCTTCAATTGGTTTCTTATCATATCATACCAAACAAAAGCCACCCACTGTCAGCACCACAACCACCACTAGCCATGGAAGAAAAAGAAAAGAAGAAGAATAAGAAGCAAAAACACCAACACCCAAATGATCAAACCACAAAACCCACCACAGATTTTGCATTCAAGCCTAGCTCAGAAGTGAAAGGACTCCGATTTGGCGGCCAATTCATTGTCAAGTCATTCACAATCCGCCGTGCACAGCCGCTCGAGCTCTTCCGCCTCCTATGTGTCCCACCACCCAACCACCAACAAGATAAACCCAATTTAAAGCCACCTTTTCCCTCAACCACAGGCTTCTTGCCCACAAACTTCACAATCTTAGCTCACGATGCATGGCACACACTAACATTAGGCCTTGGAACAAAAAAGTCTAAGGTACTTCTCTTTGTTTTTGAATCGGAGAACATGAAGGCCGCCGTGGACCGGTTCTGGCCACCGGAGATACCTCTCGGAGAAGTGAACAAGAAGCTCATAAGGGGTCTAACAGGTTGCGAGATGGCTCGGTTTAAATTCAGAAAAGGGTGCATCACTTTTTATGTATATGCAGTGAGGAGGGTTGGGAGCTTGGGATTCTCATGTGCTGATGATCTTAGAACAATTTTGCAGGCTGTGGTTGCACTGAAAGATTTCTTAGATCACACTGCTATGCTTGCCTTGCCCAAACAAAGAAGCATCAAATTTGCTCCTCCTGTTGCCATGGCTCACTAGACAGGTTCTTGATCACAATCTTCTTCATCTTCTTCCTTAATTTCTTATCCCAGATTTTTTTTGTTGGTGACTTTTCAGAAAATATTTCTTATGGGGGGATTGTTTAATTTTTTGGGGGATCTTGTTTTTGTATGTTTTTACTGTAATTTAGCAATGAATAAATTGGAGGTTTTAACATGTATCATGTATGTTGATGCATGTCTCTATTTATTTCCATCGGCATATGTTTCCCAAGAAACTTTTGGAAGAAGGTAAGTGGTAACTTTAGTTCAAGTGGGACAGAGTAGAGTTGTAATCTTAGATGTTCTAAGTTTGAATCTTAGCTTTGACACAGGTTATGAGAAATTTATTCTTCCTGAATACCTTAATTTCGGCGTGAATAACTTGTCTTTGACCATACTAAAGAAAGAATTAATCGAAATGTGTATAAACTGAACTCAATAACCAAAAAAGATAAGTGGGCATATGAAACTAAGGATATGGATGATAGTAATTTTAATTTTCTACCAACAATGAAGTGAAATAAGATAGAATTATTGGAACTCTTACTTTGATTCTCTTGTTATTTGAAGTACATTTTATTTTTATTTTTTTTCGTTTTATCTCATACCGCCCTATGACATTAATCTTAGTGTCTATAGCCTTCAAGAATTTCAAGCTAGGATGCACATAATCACTCACAAATGTCAGTTAAATTATAATTTTATAGAAATAGTAGAACTCAAATTCAAATGGTAAGATCACCTCTTATTAGATCAACGAACCAACATGCACATGCATGTTTGACTTGTTTGGACATTAAAATGGAAGAAAGAAACATAAAGAAGATAACTTATGCTTTTCAATTTCAAAAAAAAAACTTATTTTTCAACCCAATTGCGGATTTTGTAACTGTTTACTCGGTGAATCTTTGATATCCAATTCACACTCTGGAGACACATGATACATAGAGGAGTTAACAAAGTAACACATACAGAACTCTTGCAGCTAGAATGTCAGGCGGTGACCACTATTTTTTCGTGGATTGCGCTAAAATGTCGAAGCCACAGCTCTCAAAATCACTTTGAAACAAGCCTCCTGGCAATTTTATAATCGGTTCAACGGGAATAACATTAAAGGTTTCTCCAAAAGTTAAAGGGCTCCCCCAGATTACAATAATACATGAGTAATGTTATGCTAAAAAAGATTCTAAGACACTCCTCATGCTACTGGACTTCCACTATTTTGCTCTAAAATGAAGAAAGACTTGTCAAAAATTGTCGAAATCTAAAAAAATTGACCGAATTTGTAAACTTAATGATGAGACAATAACATAATCCAATCGTATTATTGTGACTATCGAGAGTTTTTTTATTCATGGAATTGTTAGACTTTGTTATTGAGACTTATCACATCATTACACCAATAAATTAAGTCATTTTTTAGGCACTCAATGACATTACTCATAGTTATGTGTGTATCTATTTTATTTTTTTTTCTATAGGATATCCAAATTTGCATCGATTACTCTCTTAAAGTATATCTCGAATTAATTTAAGAACATGTTTCCTAAGGAAAAAAGGGTGACCGATTCTTAGAAGGTGCGGAAAGTATAAAACTTAAGATTTATTACTAACAAGAAAACAGACTTGACCACTGAACCAGTTTAAGAATTGTGTGTATCTATATATGTGTGTATGAAGTTATTAGCTTATGTGGTGTGATGGTGATGACCTTTTGGCTGGTTTACTACTTGGGTGCATGTGAACTTTTTGGTTTCTTTGTTGCAAGGAAGAAAGAGAATGGAACAGATAACATTCATGGATGGGCGTGGATGCAACGGTGACGATGAATGATGAATGATGACTGATGACTGATGAGATTGTGAGAAAAGTTGAGTGGTATCATGGAAAGCAGAGGAAAAGCGAGAAGGGGTTTGTGGGGTGGGGTTGGGGGCGGAGGGGGGTTGATGTTGAACACGGATGAGGTCCAACCTTCCCACCCATTCTCAACAGGAAAAGTGAAGATAAAGAAGAACCATTATTTTCCTTGTTGCCCCTCATCAGCTTTAATCATGGTGTGAGAAGGGCCCATTTGAACCACCTTTGGCACATGAATCATGGCCATCTCTATCACCTCTGCCTTAAATAATTACCCACAGTTGTACCCATTAAGGGTGTGTTTGTTTGTCAACAAATGTTATTCATACTAAATCTATTCAAAGAAAAATTAGTACCGGCATTAAGTACAAATCTAATACCACCTCTAGTTTATTTGAGTATCAATGGATTAAGTGAGACCTACCACAAAAGAAAATGTCAGGTGAAATTTTTTCCAGCAAAAAAACCAGTTTTAACCTTAGATATTATATGAGGGATGTGTAAAAAAGGGTATTACGGACATTTCATAACTAATATCGTGGGTGAAAATTATATTGCTCTATTATTCCACCTACTAGGTGGCATTGAATATACCCATGTACATAATTATAATACTAATGTACCAACCGGGTCAGGGAAAAAGATCTAAAAAATAGTATTGAGATTAAATTGCAAAACTACTAAATATGTAAGTAGGCTCTACGTATTAATTTACTCTATTCTATCTCCTAATACTGTATATATCCGACAAACAAGCACACCCTACCCTAATGGCTTTACACTTTTTTCTTTGTGTGTGCTATGTTTGGTTTTTATATTGCTAACTGCAAGTTTGGAACTCTTTAGTTCTCCCCCATCAGTATAATATTTCTGGACCTAATTTATTACTGTTGTTTGTTGTCTTAATCTATCCCAGTTTTTGATTGATAGAGTCAGTCTCTACTAATATTTAGGGCAATGATCGATCTAATTGTAATGATTGATTACATCAATAAATTAAGGATAAATATCATTGTTCTTATGTTATTATTTTATCAATTGTGCTATGAAGGTTTTAGTGCAATATGTTTGGTAATTAAGTGACATAGTATTAAGTATTACATGCATGGTAAGTTGTACTTACAGTTCGATATGCAAAAGATTTAACATAAAGCTAGAGCAAAGGTGATTGGCGTGGACTCAAGTAGATGGAGAGGCCCTTATACAGAACAAAAGGTGGTTATTGGGCCTCCGGTGTCAGCCCAAGGGCTGAAAAAAATTACAAAGAAAATCTTTTTTTTTTTTTTTTTGAATTTTTTGGGTGTGGGTACATTTTTTAAACTTATTTGAGAAAAAATGTGTAGATAAATATTTTATTTTATTAAATTCAATTTTAAAAAACCACTAGGGGTTGCACCGTGCCTAAGAAGTGATGTATTTGGGGGAGGGGAGGAAATTCAATATGAATAGTTTTAAGAGGAATGTTGATAGGCATTAAATAAGTTTATTTGAGACCGTCGGATGAACTTATTGAAATTTGTACTGTTTTATATTATAAATTTTATGATTAAGTACAAAATTCAAATGACATTTGAATTTTTTTTACTTACTTAACGTTTCTTAAATTATGCATAATTCTTATTTTTTTTACTCTTTTTTTTTTTCTATTTCTCACAATGTTACTCTCTCTCTCTCCCCTGTATTTTCTCTCTTTTCGTTACTCTCTCTATCTCTCCCCTATTTTTCTTTCCCTTTCTTTCTCACATTGATAATTTTTTTTCTTTTCAAATATGTAAAGATTTGATTTGATTTTTTTTTCATCTTTCTCCCTATTTTTCTCTCTATCTCTCTCTTTCATTAATAATTTTGTTCTTCAAATATGTAAAGATTTGATTTGATTTGATTTTTTCATTTCTCTCTCTCCGATACTCTTTCTATTTATTCTCTCTCTTTATATCAATGTTACACCAATTATTTACAATTGCTCTATAATATACTAAACAGTTACTTATGTGTTCCATTAAACTAAATAATTACACAAAATTAATGTGTCATTTAGTTGTTTACATAAACCAAAAAATTACACTATTTAATATCACGAGATAGTTACATAAATTATATACACAAAACTTGGTGTAATTGTAAACTTTTTTGTGTAACGATAAATCAAATTTGGTATATATAATTGGTATAACAATATTGTTATATTAAATGATGTAACTTTTTGGTTTATGTAAATAATTGAATGACAAATTAAGTTAGTATTATAATTTTTTATAATTGTTTTGGTTTTATTAGAATAAATGAGTAATTTTTTTGTGTATTATAAAGTAATTGTAACTAATTAATGTAACTGATTGATGTGGTTGTATTGTTGTAATGTTGATATAAGGAAAGAGAGGGACAGAGAATAAGGAGAGAAAGAGTAACGGAGAAAGAAAATAGGGAGAGAGAGACAATGAGACAAAGAAAATAGGAGACAGAGTTAGATGAAAAAATCAAATCAAATCTCTACAAAAGAAAAAAAATTATCAATGAAAGAGAGAGAAAAAAATAGGGGATAGATCGAGTGAGTAATGAGGAGAGACATACATAAATATAGAGAAATATATGGAAGAAAAGTGAGAGAGTAATGGAGAAAGAGGGAGTAATAGAGTAACGAATCACCTTTTAGTTTTTTTTAAAAAAAAATGCATTTAGAGTCAAATAAGTTTCTTTAATATAGTTTAACTCAATTAAGTCCAAAATTTGTCAAAATGATATTTCGTGAATTCAAGTTTAAAATTTAATATTTTTGAAGTTGGAATAAAATTATTTATCGAGCAATAATATTTGAATATAATTTAAAAATCTAATTCATTATAGTTATCAAATCAATAACTAGTCTCAGAGTTAGATAAGACTCACTTTTCGTTTAATACCAACTATAATAGATTAGATTTTCAAATTTGATACAAATAATATTATCTTTATTTATCACTTACTTTTTTAATAGTTATATGTATTGATCTTGTATACTGGGTAAAAAAAAAATCTTGTCTATTTAGTTCATCCCTACAAAATAAACCATGAATATTTACGATCTATACTATATACTAAAAGAATTAATTCATAGAGTTAGTGTTTGAGAAACTTTTTCCCCTCCATCATATTTTTTCATTATTTAATTGACCTATTCCAAATGAATTTCAACATGTGACTTATGTAACCACTTTCAACTTTTTAATAACTACTTCCTCTTTGAATTTCTTATCATATTTAGTAGTTATTTTACATTTAAATTTTGAAAAAATATCAATTTAGTATATAAGTAAGTAATTTTCTGATAATGTTAGCATAAAGATGGGGGAATGGGTGGCAGTGAGATGGGAGTAGAGTGATGAACAGATGATAAAGAAATATTACAAATTCTGCCCATCACACTCGATCCCACCTCAATTAAAAATAAAATTAGATATGCGTGTATACGAACTTTTAGACACATTTTCCTTGTAAATTGATTTTTGGAGACAAGTTCTACCAATTGGTTCATAACAATTTGTATCAGAGGTAACCACTACCTTGAATATGAAATCTAACACAATGTAAGCTTTTGCTCTTTGTGGTCAAGTGTGGAAGGGGCTACTTATAGGGCTAAATTAAGATGACTTGATATTATGTATCTTATAGGGCTAAATTAATTAAGATGACTTGCTATTATGTATGAACATAGTTTTATCTCATTGAGTACCGAAAAATAAGTGGAGCTGTCAAAAGATATGAATATCGTTAGATCAATGTCGATAGAATGGGTTGCCGTGGATGTCCACTACAGAGGCATGATAGAATATTACGATCCCACGTCAGTTAAAAATAAGACTAAATGTATATATATGAAATTTTGGACATCCTTCCTTTGCAAGTCGATTTTCGGGAGTAAAATTCTACCCATGGGTTCACAATTGTTTTGTAAAAATAATTATCGATTAAATTTAGGGGTGACAAATCGTGTTGGGTTTGTATTAGGTCATTTCGGGTTCATGTCAAGCACCATTAAATTCTACCCCAACCTATTTAATTAATTATGTCGTGTCGTGTCGATCTATTTATTTTTGTATCGTGTTCGTATTGACCCATATAACCGGTGAATAAAAAATTTAACGTTTAATTTTATATCTAAAATTTTATTATCACTTAATCGAACTTATGCTCATATTTTTTTTATAAACTAAAAATTAACTTAATAAATATAATAATAAAAATGAGTAAAAATATCTTTTTTTTTTTATAAGAATTAGGTTACTACTTGATAAAATATAAAAAAAAAAAACTAACACTTTATTATTATATTATTACTTAAAACTGTTAATTGTGTCAATTTCGTATTGTTCGTGTATGATACTAATCCACCTTAATTATTATTTGTTTTAATAGATCATGTTATATATAAGTTTGTATTAAAAAATAATTAATCCCAAGATATCTTATGGGTCACCCCAATCTCACCGTATAGGACCGGGTTATCAGTGCGGGTTCTCCAACCCTAAAATGTGCTTTTGTTGAACCAGACCTGCTTGCTCTCCATTGACCGAGCCGACTGAACCAGACAAGTTTATCCGCGCACCAAACGAGCTCTGTTCTTCAATTGACCGATCCAGACATAGTGATTCAAACTGGAGATCAAAGATGGGTTTGGTGTGGACGATCGTTGAGTTGATCATCATCGTGGCTCTGATAGTGGCTTTAGGGTTAGCTGCTGCCATTGTATTGGAAACATTAAGAAGACGTTATAATCACAGGTACATTCACTTCCGAAAGCAAAACCTAATTTACATCGAATTTGTTCTGTTCTACTTTAATTTGTGGTTTATTTTTTAAATTTTCAGTCATGTTGAAGCTCCTCCGATCTTCGAGGATCCAAAGTCGTTGAAACCGGTATGTGCTTCTTTTTGTCTCAAACTATACACGCCTTTATGCTTATAAAAATATATCGGAACACCAAAATCTATCTATCCATCCATATATACACACACACACACACACAAAATTTAGAGTCGAGAGGCTTGGCAAGTCTTCCCTCATTTCATAATTTCTTAGAATTTAGAATTTGTCATTTGTAATTACCCCTCAACTCCTCAATAACTAACCACTATTTTTTAAATTTTTTTTAGAATTTAGAATTTGTCATTTGTAACTACACTCAACTCCTCAATAACAAACCATTATTTTTTTAAAATTTATTAAAAAAATTTCGCTTTTTAAGACTCAAAAGCTTTCTATAATTGTTTATCTAACTTCCCAAGTGATAAAATAAAAAAAGAAGTAGATAAGTAAAAAAATAGAAAAAGAGACATGACTTATAATCTTGTGCATTGCGCAGGGTTGGCGGCTAGTAAATGGTATTTACCGATGTACTATTGATTTCATTTGAAGAAATTAGGATTGTGATTGCACAATGACTTTTATTGGGTGGCCATGAAGGTTATTTGTTCTTAATAATGGAAGTATGCCATATAGTGAAGTTGTGAAATTGGCTTCTTTTTAAGTTTTTTAGGCTGATGCTATTCTATGAGTATTGATAATGGCAATATCTCTCCCCACCCAAAAAAAAATAAAAATTAAAAAATCACTGGGATTGATTTGCAGATGTTAGTGTGGTGTTCAATTAGGGAATTAAGGAAACTAACTGCAGCAAACAATTAGGCTTTTAAAAGTGCTCGATGACTTTGTTGTGTACTGTATTGAGAATAAGTGTCTAAATTCTAAAATGACATTCAGGCATTATGCAAACCATATATGGGTGCAAGGTTGCCAGTGGTGGTTGTATTGGACAACATAGTACTATAAAATGTGCTACTACTGCAACAGCAATGCAATTATCCTATGCATAGCATGGCACTGTTTATTATAGAATATCGCTTGCTGTCCAATAAGATCCCAATTTGCCAAGTTTATGCATCGATTAGTTTTTTTTTTTTTATCAGCATGCATCGATTAGTTGAGTGATAACTGTATGATGATTTTTTGAAAATTCAAGCTCTTTTGCATGATGCTTTTAACAGCGAATGAACCAATCTTTTTAAGCAGTGAGTGAAGTTATTTTAGAATCTTCCTGGATTAATTTTATGTGTTGAACTTTAACTGTGAAAATACTAAATTGGTAGAATCACTTTCTAGAAGTATCAGCGATTTGAAGTTTTTCTTGGAGTTATTAACTGTGTTGGTGGCTTCTGTTCCAGGTTCCATGTCCTCATATTTTTGATCCTGCAGAAAAGTACATATCATTGATTGTTCCTGCATTCAATGAAGAGCATAGGCTTCCTGGAGCACTCAATGAGACCATGAAGTGAGTTAAAGCATAACTGTTCAGATGTATGTTTTTATACACATATATATATATATCCAATATTATTGTCTTGGTGTATTTATATAATTATATAATTATCCATATTTTGTGACTTCCAGTTTTTATCAATCATGATCAGGATTAATTCTGCCAGTCTCGTTACCATTTTACTGTTTTTCTTATCAAACTTTGGTCTGTTATGACATAAGACACCTGATACTGTCTGATAACCATTGGGGTTCAACAACTATAATTGCTGCAGGCTTGCAGCACCTGTACTTACAATGGAAGCTGTCACCCTTAAATGTTCTCTTGAGACTCTAAGTAAATGTGTGGCTTTATATTTTGCTACCAAGTAAGCACGAATATGGATACAGGATATAGGAACAACACTCCTTAAAAAACGATATAACATAAGGTATGGATACATAAAGATATGTCAATAATATATTTTGACATCTTGTATTATAGAATACAAGTTAATATTACTGATTTTTAGGTGTATATGTATATCTGTGAATATAGTTGAAAATTCCTCATTCGCGTAAGCAAACTTATTTTATCTTTCACTAGAGAGTATCAGATACATTATGCACATTCATGAATCCTAATTTATCAAAAGATGCTACAAACTTCATTATTCAATGCATTTTAATGGAAAATTCATGTGAAACATTGCAGAAATAGTGAATTGGTATACAGTATTCAAGTGTTTATGTTAATTTCACTTTCTAGATGTGTCAAATCCTAAGAAGGGTTAGCAAATTTTGTTTTAAAAGGGGTTCTTTTATGAACTCTAATTGTCCATTTAAGAAATCATACTTTTGGGCCTACATATCCTTGACATGTTTTTGTATCCTTAGTATATCGGCCACTTATCCTCGGGGTATCCAAAATACATCGGAAAAATTAAGTATATTTTTAGATAGCTAGCCAAATTGATATGTGTTTGTCCATATCTTGAGGCATATTTGTATTTGATATGTATCAGATATGGATAGTCCAGCCTTAGTGAAGAATCCGTGCTTCAGAACCTACTACAGAAAGAATATATTGCTTATAAGGCATCATTTTTTTATGTTGCAACTAATGCATTTTCTTAAAAGATGAATAAAATTTAAATGATTTTTTGATTCAAAAGAAAGAACGCAGCCATACTTGATATCATTGGTATTAAGTTTTTCTAATTTTGGAATTTGCATGTTTTAAGATAGGGACCTACAACAATTTTGATTTTAAAAATTGTGTTTGTGAGCTTTGGAGAAAAAAGAAGAGAAAATGACAACTTCCTACCTTTGTGGATTCTTAGAGGGAAAGGAAAGGAAAAGAATGAAAGATTCCCTTTGTTAGGAAAATAAGGAGATAAAAGAAACTTTTAAAAAGAAGGATTAATTTTGCAAATGTTGTTAAAGATAATCTCAGATTCCCTCCATTGCTTCTATTTCTTTTATTTTCTCTCCTATAGCTAGTGGTCAACGCGTTGATGATTCAGCCCAAAATCTTATCAAAACACCATGAACCTGCATGAACTTTGTTATGTTCTTGAAGGGACATCTCCATCCAAAATGTTCAGAGTTGGCCTGAATTAGAGAACTAAAGTGCTATAACATGTTCACTATATTACAAACCCTAGTTGAATCACTTATGTTAGAAAAATAGCTTTTGAAAAGTTGGGTTAAAATGATAAACCAATTAAACAGTTGGAACATACCAACATTGCATCAACAAGGAGTTCAATGAAATTCTGCTTTTTGTTATTTTAGTGGGATGAAGAACTTCATGTGATCTATAGGATCTTTTTATACCTTGTTTTTTGACTGCATTTAGTTGGATCTCTTATCCAACCTCTTATTATGTAACTTATCTATTATTTATTTTTTATTCAAGAGTAACATTGCATCAACAAGGGTGTGTCTGGTTAGGCGCACCTTCTATATCTTTATTAATTAGAGGAAAAAAAGTAATAGCAATCATAATAAATATTATAATAGAGTTGGGTTCAGAATTCAAGTTGAATCTCTAGTCATGGAACAAATTGATTGTTAGCGATTGGATATAACCCCTTACCACATCTTACCCATGGTGGGATTTGAGCCCTGGTTTCTTCAGTTTATCAATGATCATAGAAATTGTAAGCCATAAATAATCATCAGTTGAATTTGTAAAGTTGGAGATACAACTCTAGAGTAGAGCTGATCATATGCTGATTAGGACAAGGCAGCTCCAATTTTACATGCAGTTGCATGTGGCATCTATGCACTCATCTACCTATCAGTCTGGCATATGAATAATTCGTGATATTACAGAACTAATTCGGTGGTTTTCAAAGTACAATTATAGATACCTTTGTAGTGCTAATCATCGATTAAGTATTCTATCATGATTGTGCTGAGAGTTTATATTAGCTTCATGATACTTGGATCTATGTTGTAGTTATCTTCAACAACGGGCAGCAAAGGACAAGTCATTTTCTTATGAGGTATGATGTAGTTCTTGATATGCTTTTCACTGATCTTCTGACTTGGTTCTGGCAGCTACATGCGGAAATTTTCGTGAAAAGATAATTATCTTTAACATTTGCAAAATATTAGGTTAAGCATGATTATGTGCTGTGTAATTTTAAGCTAAAATCAAATTAGGAACGAGGATGCAACTCAGAACTTTAGGGCTAGGAGAACTTAAGGGTGACTATTTGTTATTAGCTGGGTCCATTGTCTGTATTGACTATTGAGGAAGACATTGCCATTGAAGTGAAAAGGTGTCATCTATTGGGAAAGCCATGCGTTGCATTATAGGATGTCATTGTGTTAGGAAGCTATATCTTTCAAAAATATGTGTGGCCAAAATGACGATGTTCTTACAAAGATAGAATAGGAGAATCAAATGTTTTAAGGGATGTGTTTCAGGTCCTGGTTCGAGATCATTCGAGAGTAAGTCGTCAGATATCATTTGGCCATGCCTGGGATAGACTGATGATTCTATCCTCAATTGACTGGTATAAATCTTGTTGAGTTGAGCCAGTTATCTTCAAGGAGAATAGAGCAAGAGGAATATCACCTGGTTGGCTGATGAATCATATGTTTTTTATCACAGAAAGCGCAGCATAAGAACAGGGATAGAGGAATGTTAAATTTGGGCTAAATTCTGGTAAATTCATGATAAATTCTAATATTTAATAATTTATGCACATCAATCATAAAAAACTTTCACAGTGACAGCATTGATGTAAGCTTGAGCTCCAATGGGTTGAAAGGTGCCTTGTTTCATTTAGCACTTAAAATGGCATCACAATGCAGGCAGGTATTTCCCTTCCGCTTGGTGGAAACTAACCTGACTGCAAGGTTATAATCCATTTCTTGATATCTTAACAAATTTTTAGCTGGAAGATTGCCAACTGGGACAACCATTGGCCTTTCATGTTGGTTAGGTACTCATCTTTTTTTTTTTTTTTTGCTGTCCGTTTTTTTGCCCTTTTCAATGGGTTCTTATTTTGGTTGGAAAGGTTCAGAACCCCTTTGTCGCAAATGTTTTGTGGAAATTAACTACTTGCCTTGAAGGCGGAAAATAATCGATTCTGGTATATGAGCTTTCACCACTTATTCATGAAGATTGAAAACTAAGTAGTCCATGCATAAGTGCCCCAATAAATGGAAAAGAAAAAAAAAAAAGAATTGTGGGGCTGTTCATTAGTGACTCATGGTTTTGTCCATGCATCCTACTTGTGTCTATAAGTGGAGCACTATTGAATTTACCAACCTGCCTGTAGGAAGCAGCCATAAAATTACACAGTGATTAGTCTTGTATTATTATAATCTCCTTCATTTTCTGTCAAAGTCATTGCATTTGCAGGAAAGTTCATCCTGTCTATAAAATTACTTCCTTGCTTCTCCAAACCCCCTCCCCCCAATATATATATATCAAAAGAAAAAAAATAAGATTGAATTATTGACTCTTACTCCTATGCTTTGCAAGATATGGTCTGATTCTGTGGGGATCATTCAACATTTTCAGTGAGAATATGGAACTAAAATCACTAGCTTCTACTTGGACCAAATCAGTGCTCAGTGCTCACATACCGCGAATAATAGATTTGATTTATATAGTCATTTTGAAGCGTGGGAACTCAACATTGGATCTAATAACTTCAACCTGAATGTAGCCTGCCAACTTCCAGGACATTTTCATCTCCACATTTCGTTGCCTGCATCTCTTCATTGCTTGGTAATGGTAGACCAAAATGTCAAGTTTTCTCATTTTTACATCTTCGATATTAGTCTGTTTGAGACTAATCTAACTATTGTAATCTTGTTAATGAATGAGCATACTTTGTTTATGCCAAAACTTCTCAACTAAACATCTTCCAAATGGAAGTGAGTCTCACACAATGTTATGAAGTCATACAAGAGGTAGAGGGTGTTCTGGTTAAGCAAAACTCGAGGAACAGCGTTCGGGTTCGACTGGGTGTCATAGCTCTGTTTTTTATTTAGTAGAAATACCTTAACCATTTTTATGGAATGTTCCAACTATCAGAATATGTTTCTTTTAGCATTTTTATAAGCTTTTTTGCTATTTTTACGTAAGAAAACAGGTGGTAATTATTGATGATGGAAGTGCTGATGGAACGAAGAGAGTAGCTTTTGACTTTGTAAGGAAATACACAGTAGACAATGTAAGGGTTATCCTTCTTGGAAGAAACCATGGCAAGGGAGAAGCTATAAGAAAAGTGAGTCTAATCTAAATGACCCGTTGACTGTTCATATGCTCAGCTATATTCTGCAGCAAAATTGATTAAAGCTATTTGCTTCTGCGAAAGCATTGTAAAACAGGGAATGCTTCATTCACGTGGTGAACTACTAATAATGCTGGATGCTGATGGGGCGACCAAGGTTAATGACCTAGAAAAACTTGAAAATCAGGTTGGTGTTGGCCCAGCTATTCAGTGTATACTGGTGCATTATTTTCATAAACTATCTGGTTAACACTGAATTTTTGGTCTAAAATACCATGTGTTTTTTGCCTATCAGATACATGCAGTTGTTGAAGAGGAACATCGTTTTGGCAATTCTGCAGCTAATGATTTGACTTTAAGAATCTCAGATGTCCCAATTGCCGCCTTTGGTTCACGTGCTCATCTGGAGGAGAAGGCTCTCGCAACAGTTCAGTCTTTTTTATTGTTTCTGCGTTTGGCCTAGTTTCTGATTCTCTATTTTTAGTTGCACTTTGATTTTTTAATTGTCCCAATTGAACCAATTCACCTTGTGTTTCAGAGAAAGTGGTACCGCAATTTTTTGATGAAGGGTTTCCATGTTGTTGTTCTTTTGGCTGCTGGTCCTGGAATTCGTGATACACAGGTAATTTATGTGCTTGATAAATTGATTTAACCTTGGTATTTGCCTGCGTGGTTTTTGTTCTCTGTCATGCTTTACCTGTGGTACTTGTTAAAAGGGGGGAAAACCTGTCGCTTGAGTTTGAGATAAGTTTGTTCAATTTTCACTTGATATGAACTTTCCATGCATTACAGTGTGGTTTTAAGATGTTTACTAGAGCTGCTGCACGGAAGCTTTTCACAAACATACGTTTGAAAAGGTAACTTTATTTTTCAGCCAATTATTGATAATTTACTCTATTTACAAGATTCAGCATAGGCCCTTTTGGGGAGTATTTTTCAATTGCTAATGCTTAAAACAAGGCCAATGATTGCTGTGTAGCTACTAGTGTGATATACTTTTTTTTAGCTAGGAAGATTGACAGGAAATATTTGTAGGCAGGACTAAGACATCCATGTCGTGGCTAGAATGAGAATAGTCGAAGGTGTGGTAGGTTCATTATGGATCATAATGGGATAATGCAAATTGTAAACATTAATACATGCAGTCTTTTACTTGCTATGAGTGAACTTAAGGATGGTCATCAAGAGTAGTTTTTCGGGGGCCCAGAGAGGCGCCCAACTGATGCCCAATAAGTCCTGGGGAATAAACATGAAATTCTTACTTCTGTAAAATTTTATAAATCCATACCAATTCATTGCACCAATTATTCATGAGGCTATAGAAAGCAAAAAAAGATATGATTAATTTGAGTATATACTTGATTAAATGGAGAGAGTACTAAAACTTTGGCCTGGTTCAACTATCGTTGACCTGATTTATTATGTAATAATCCTGATGTTTTATTTATTCATATATCATGTACAAAAATGAGGTAGATATTTTTCTTCTTTTTGATTGATGCATTCAGTTTGTCAATTCCACTCTATCGAACTTAGCCACATTGATTTTGTGCAGGTGGTGCTTTGATGTTGAGTTAGTCTATTTATGCAAATACTTTCACATCCCTATGATTGAGTTATCCGTAAACTGGTCAGAAATTCCTGGATCCAAGGTGAACCCATTAAGCATTCCAAACATGTTGTGGGAGCTGGCACTGATGTCTTTGGGATATAGGACTGGCATCTGGAAAATCTATACATGAGTCATTTTGTGATAAAACTCACCGAAAACAACATTTTAGTCCTGGCCTCATTTGACCACGCAAGAGTAAGATGTTGCACCTGCTGATTAAAAGTTCTAACTCGCATCTGTGGAAAACAAAGCGTTTCCAAACACGTTTTTGCTGTCGAAATCATCGCAGGTAACCTGAGCTAAGCTTAGTCTTGTAATTTTGTTTGAGGAGCTACTTCGTTTCATTCCTTTTGATAGTTACAGTCATAAAATGTGAATCATATGTCCAACTTTATGTTTCTAGATGATTTTAAGGAGAGATCAACATCGTTTTAAGTTTGTCTAATGCCTTGATATTTGAGAAATGATTTGGTGACCCTTTGGGAGCTGGTTAGGCTTCGGCTTTCCTAGATAAACTGAAATGTTTAACTTAATGGAGTTCGATTTTTTATATTGTATAGTGACTTAGATACGGGATTATTACTAATATATATATACTATAATCTTGTGGTAGCAGGCAGACGAGTTGTATTACAGTTCTTGGTTCGTTCGGTGCGTCTCATACTTCATATCATCATGGTTAACCTAAGGGGAAACATTAGTTCTAAACGAAGAAAATCTATTTGTTTCCTCGTGCTTTTGATAATGATGAGGTCCAGTATGAGTGTGCATGTTTGCTGGCGAGGATTTTCTGGCTGTGTCAGACTGTTTGACTGACGATTATTCCTTGTTCACTGAGAAAATAGGATTTTGAACAAAGATAAATGGTGAAGACTAGGATATCAAAAAAGATGGCAATTGTTCGTGATCGATCACATTCATGATTTGTGATCGATTATGAATAACTGAAAACAATTGTAAATTTACATTTAAAATGTGTAACTTAGCATTGAAAAGTTGTATGTTTCACAATCGATCATGACTCTTTGATCTGATATAGCTTTCGGTATTGTAGGCATCCCCTCAAACCGTGTCTAATTGATCCAAATCACTTCTATTTGTGGGATCCAAAACACTTCTATATGTGGGTAAATACTATTTCAATGAACAACTTGCTATAACAATTTAGAACAGTTCATTTATGTTATGAATTAAATTGATTTGATATATAGTAGTTTTTTATTAGATACAAATATATTTTATAAATATTTTCAAAGTAAAGAGTGTAAAGGTAAAATTAAAAATTAATTTATTTGTAGACATTAACTCGGTAGTTATCAAATAATTTAGTTTAATTCAGTATTTAAATTTTAGTGGGTATCAAACAGTCTGTTCATTCAATATTCCATACTTAAAGTTTAACATTCAATTTTTAGTATTCTGCTTTTAATTTTATCATACATCACTTAAGAATTGCTTTTGAGAAGAAAGACCCCTAAATTTTTTAGTTGGTAAAATTGAGAGAATGAAATATGGCCAATTAAATTATGAATGGGCAAGCCACTTATTTGATTTCCTTGAATACATTTCAATGTGAACTTTGATGGGTCTATAAATGGGTCGGTACAACTTCCCTCCAATTTTATAAGAATTGGATTTTAATGATCCAAATTTATACACAACCAGATTCAGATGATTCAAAAAGTATCCTGAACTTTTAAAATTCAATTCCTACTGAATCTGCCTGTGTACAAACTTCAACTATTCAAAAGAAGATGGGAAGATCCAGGGGACCCTAACCCCTTGAGGTATTCACCAAGAAAACAGTTCAGTTGCACCATCCACCGTTACTGAGGCAGAATGTAACGTGCAAGGCAAACATTGCGGCAGTGTGTGTATAATTGAAGCTAAAGTATCATCCCAAGGTCTTCTCTTAGACTCCAAGCTTTTGCCAATATAGGATAATCGTTGTTCTAGTGAGATTCATGCTTACCTTGTACTCAACTCTATCCACCATAATGCCACCTAGAAAGTCCGAGCAATTCCTTCCTGTGAAAGATCTACTTTCATTTCACAATAGCTTTATCCGACATGCATCAACATCATATTTACTTTTTATGTAGATTTGTTCTCATCTTCCCAATATTTCATTCAATCACTTGTAGAATATTAGGTTCCCTACATGTTTTGTTACATCTTTAGACCTAGGCGATATATCACCGTAGCAAACACATCCATCCAAGTAATTTTGTGGCTAGAAATCAGCCTCTCCAAACTGAGGGTGGAACTGCCTACCAAATTGCCAACCTCAGACCTCACCGTGGATGAAAACCACTGAGTCCATGGTCTACGACACAATGACATACTTCAGTTTCCATTCACCATCCATACTTGCCTACACCAACTAAAGTTGCTATATCAACAAAACAATCCATCATCATGCAGCCAAATTAGCCATTTCTCAGATCATCCTCCACTACCCAAAACGAGGAAGATAAAAAGGCCAGAAATAGTTGGAAACTTCTACATTAAACAAAAATAAATGAATCGAAATGTGTCCAGAAATAAACTCCTTGCCCTCTCAGGGTCATCAGCCCAACATAACAATAACAAACATACAAAACATAGCTAGAACGAAAGAAGGTAACTTCCTGATCCAGTAATAGAAATACTTTTCTTCAAACAATGTTGTTTTTGCACAATTAGAAGCATTTTCTATGCACGATAGATGGACCAGACTCGTCATACTCTGCCTTTGCAATCCACATCTGCAATCAAACAAACAAAAGTCCGGTCATAAATTTTAGGGCAACCTCTTACATTGGAGTATTTGCATGAAAATATACAAACCTGCTGGAAGGTGCTGAGGGATGCCAAGATGGAGCCTCCAATCCAGACACTGTACTTCCTCTCGGGAGGTGCCACCACCTTGATCTTCATGCTGCTTGGGGCTAGCGCAGTGATTTCCTTGCTCATTCTATCAGCAATGCCCGGGAACATGGTTGAACCACCACTGAGTACAATGTTGCCATAGAGGTCTTTCCTAATATCGACATCACACTTCATGATGGAGTTGTACGTGGTCTCATGGATTCCTGCTGCTTCCATTCCAATCATTGAAGGCTGGAAGAGGACCTCAGGGCATCGGAAACGCTCAGCACCAATGGTGATCACCTGCCCATCAGGCAGCTCGTAACTCTTCTCAACTGAAGAGCTCGTCTTGGAAGTCTCTAGCTCCTGTTCATAGTCGAGGGCAATGTAAGCCAGCTTTTCTTTCATGTCCCTCACAATTTCACGCTCAGCAGTGGTGGTGAAAGAATACCCACGCTCAGTGAGGATTTTCATCAAGCTATCAGTGAGGTCACGACCTGCCAAGTCAAGACGAAGGATGGCATGTGGGAGGGCATACCCCTCATATATGGGAACTGTGTGGCTGACTCCATCACCAGAATCCAGCACAATACCTGCACAGGTATTGAAGCAACTATGATTCCACACGGGCACATATCAAACACCAACCATGAATAATATAAGATGTACAACTCTAGCTCCACAATTCAGTTCATTAATCAATTGAAATTTTGAAATGCTTACCAGTAGTACGACCACTGGCATACAGGGAAAGAACAGCTTGAATGGCAACATACATAGCAGGGGTATTGAAAGTCTCAAACATGATTTGAGTCATCTTCTCACGATTAGCCTTTGGGTTAAGTGGTGCTTCAGTAAGGAGAACAGGATGCTCTTCTGGGGCAACGCGAAGCTCATTGTAGAAGGTGTGATGCCATATCTTCTCCATGTCATCCCAATTGCTCACAATACCATGCTCAATTGGGTATTTGAGAGTCAAAATACCTCTCTTGGATTGAGCCTCATCTCCAACATATGCATCTTTTTGACCCATGCCAACCATCACACCAGTGTGACGGGGGCGGCCCACAATGCTCGGGAACACAGCCCGTGGAGCATCATCTCCAGCAAATCCCGCCTAAAAGATAAAACATAACAGTCACTTCCAACATATTACAACATAGAGGAAAAAATGTAGTGCTCTCACAAGTTCTTTGAACTCTCTAAAGAACACAAAGTTATTTAGGTTGGCACCTTAACCATTCCAGTCCCATTATCACAAACGAGTGGCTGAATGTCCTCGGCTTCTGCCATCTTATGCTACCTACATTGGCACAAGGTCACAGAAAATGATCAGAATAGGCATCAAACTAGCCAAATAAATACACAAAGTGGCAGTGTAAACCTAAATGTACACAAAATGCAGCTGCTGTTGATTGAATGGAAACACAAAACTCAAGGGTCAAGAACCCCAATATGGGCCAAAATGAATTACAAACAATAAGCCAGGAAAGTTAGATTATCACAAACAAATGAAATTAAAAGCCAAATAATATAAAACATGACACCTCATAACTTTATCCAAATTATTGTGCCAATGACTCATCCATTTTATTTTCATGGTCACGAACTTAATCTTTCTATGCAATGCTCAAGAATTTTCCTTCAAATTCTAAATCTATAATATAAAAAAGAACATGCTTCAATAAGCCCATCCCACAGTCTTAAATAGACTCAACGCCACCAACATCCCTGTCAAAACCATCCACATTGAATTCTCCCCTCCCCAAAATTAATCACTTCTCACTTATGTTACATCAGGCATGAGTTACCCTACTAAACAATAAATGAGATCAATAATACCCATCAGCAAGAAAAACTCAAAAAACTCCCATCTAAAGATCGCACACCAATAGTTGATAACTTGATAAATAAAAACAAAAAAGCCTCCAGTGCTTTTGAATCCAATTTCTCCCTTTTACGAATTGAAAAACACGGGAGTAACACAAGTAAATTTTACCACAATGCATAGCCATTAACATATGGCAAGAGTATAAGAAATGCACAGATCCTTAAATATTCGCCAAAAAAATACAAGAATTACACAGCATACAATATAAGCAGTATAAATTTCAAAAAGTCTAAACACCAACCATTTACCACAATGCTAACATGAATCGGAAACAAATCGATCAACCAAAATCATAGCCAAATCACAACACATACAAATTGCATATAAACAAATCTACAACTAAATCCAATTTTCTATGAATGTACCAAGCAGTACTCCGATCTATGAATCCAAAAGCTCAGATAGCTAAATCAGCATCGAATGAATGGGGAATGTGAATGAAATTTGCCTCTTAGATACCTAGATTTGGCGTTGTATGGAGAGAGAGATAGAGAGAGAAACGGTCTCCTATGGATGATGCCGCGAGATTGATGCGAAACCACGCACAAAAATGTGAACTCCTACCATCGAAATGAGAAGTGGTGGGTTATATGAGAAGAGAGATTCGATCTTGACCGTTGGATTGCTTTTAACAGTCTGGATGGATGTACGAACACGAGGACACGTCGTGGGTGCTATGATGAATGGTGTCCACAGCTCCCATTTCTGGTTTTTTTGTCATTTCACATTTTAGTTTTGGTAATATTTGGATAATTTTATCCACTGATTTTTTTTTAAGGTAGTAATTATTTCTCAGCCAAAAACACAAAAACTGTTGTGTATTTCCATTTTTCTCTGGTCTATATTTTTGGATGTTTCTATCTATTTTTTTAAAAAATAAATAATAAAAATACAATTAAAAAGCATCGATATATCTAAACAAACATGCATGCCTCTTGAAAAAAATATATGCATATAAAATTTTCGATTGATTTAATGACCAAAGTCTCTATTGTTAAACCTTAATGTTGCGGGTTTGAATTTTACCGTCATCCCCTTATAATAGTGTTTGATGCCCCTAAACATTATTCCCTTTTTTGTTGTCAAGCACTTGCACTCTCATTTGGTGTATTATCATTTTGTGAAATTCACTTATTTACTTAGTATATTTTTGTTGGGTTATGACATCATGTGACGGTGATAATTTGATGCTACTGTTGCTTTAAATACTTTCTCGTAACACGACACTCGGTCCCATCTATCCTAAAAAAAACTTCATTTTCTCCCTCTCTCACTCTCTCTCTCAAGGAAATGTTGCAACTATACATTTCCTAAAACTTGTGATAATATACCGTATAAAATCCCTTCCAAATCGAGTATACAATCATGTACACCGGATTAACCCAAAAAAAAAAAAAAAATTAAACTTGAAATCTCGAAATAATAATATTTCAAGTATAACCGACTTTGTGGTCTGCAGATTGATTTACTTGGGAGTAATTGCAATTATAAGCCTTACCACTTTATCATGAAAGATTCAAGGCCAAATATCAAAAAAAAAAAAAAAAGATTCAAGGCCATGTGTGGTGTCAGGAGAAATCTTTCTTTTATGTGAAAGCATGTTATTAGCACTTTATCCAGGAAAAAGAAATGGTTCCACCTAGACAGGAGCACTTTTTTTCAATCCCATAGTTGTCATTCAACCTTTTTGATTTGGGGAATGTTTTTTTTTCAATGGTAAGGGTGTGTGGATCAACTATCATGCATCTTGATTAATTTCTTTTTCAATCTGATCAAAGACAAGTCATTTACATCGAGATTAGATATTCAAGCAGAATAAAATTATGACATAATCCCAAAAAATTACCAAAATTCGTCACTATTACTATTTGAGCCATCATCCGCGTTTACTTTGGGGAATGTTTATTCACAATCCTAACACATACATGCGTCAATAAATTAAAGCTTTAGTGCATAAACTACCCCTCCTCAATTCCATGATATATCACAAAGTACCTCTGAAAAGTGCAGAAACTTTCGGAAGCACCCCTATTAACAAAGATTCTTGCATTCTTGCCCGCCATGCTTTGTTTTTTTTCACTTCTCTAAGTTTTTATGGAGTGCAGATGCCCTCTCCATCCTATTTTCCATAAATTTTTCCTGAAATAGTTATTCGAGTGGAGCTGAGTAGAAACTTTATTCCCAGTATCTTTACAAGAGGGCACCCAAAAGAGAATGAAAAGTTGAGTATAACGAGTTGGGAATACAGAAGACCTGTATCCCACTAGAACCCATAAGCTTCCCATGTGATCTCATGAACATGGTTGGCATGCTCTTTGTCCAAGAGCAGCTTCAGCGCAATACCTTGTACCAGACAATTCAATAAGAGACCAACCCTGTTCATAACTAAATAACCTTTTACGACAGTATAACTCTGTGACTTCTATGTGAAATTCCTAAGAAAACAGGACAGGAGTTCCGAGCACAAAAACAATGTACAACAGGACAGGATAAGCAATGCCTGGTTGAACTTGAAATAAAAATCAACTTACATGCACATTTATCCTGCAAAGAAAATACCCGAGACACTTGCCCAAAATATATCTGTCTAACAGTCAGCAAAGATGGTTTCCGTCTAACAGTTAGCAAAATAACAATGATTATATCGCATTGACTATTGTTACTTCCCAATCATGCTCATTGGCATAATCCTATTGTGTCACACAATGAATAAGCGCCTAAGGAGGGAGATCCCAAAAAACTATTCCAGGCTTCCAATTGGAATGTGTTTTGGTATGTCCTAGCTTTTAAGTTCAAGGTGGAAGATATTATCATTAGCTGCCATTAGTTCAAGGTGATTTTATCAACAGTTATTTTGGAATGTACCAGTTGTGTCCGAAACAGTGTTAATAAGGGATCAACGGGCATTTCCAGATATATTACTCAAAAGAACCTGCACAATATGCCTAATCGATTGGAATTGAGAAAATTCTGTCCCTATTGTTACAAACATACGATTTATGGGGAGATAAAAAAATAGATCAAACTAAGCACCTGTGTGTCACCCTTCCAAGGAAGGGGAAAAAATGACATTCTATTATATATAACATATTTAAATATAAACAAATAAAATCCTATTTCTAATTCATTTTAGATCCAAGAAATAGGATGTTCAGGATAAGGAATAAACTAAACAAACCATGGATAAATCCAAGCGACTTTTTTTTAAATCCAAGCGATCTTTTCGTGACAAGAACAAACGATGATAGATATTCCATGTAGAAACTGCAAATTAGGCTTTTGTTAACAATAACCATGAACACCATTATATTCATTCATCAGAAATAGGTTGCAATATTGAAGTCCAAAATTTTGGGCAGAGCTATATGCCCAGTAGTCATGATTTAACGCATTCAGAATTCAGAAAACGAAGAAACAAACTAGTTTGATATTCATTCAGTCTACAGGCATCATACGACTGACAACGACAAGGTCAACGCTCCTCAAATAGTCTTATAGAAATTGTAAAAGGGAAAAACAAATTAAGCAAAGTAGGGTATCTACTCGCTAAAGCAAATAATGGGAACCGTATCAAATGCATTAATTAACTGAAAGTCTACAATATCAGGGAGCAAGAGTGAAGATTTGATTCATTACTAGCACATATTGATGAGAACTTTGAACTTTGAACTTCTTTACCAAGATATGAGTGCCAGGCTTGCCAGTCACCTCTACAAGAATGGGGGTAGTATTACCCATCGTCGAGGATACTTGGGTCTTCCCTCCTTTCCATCAAATAACTGCAAGGAAAAGGTGTCAACGTAAGATTCAAAATTAAGATGTTACAACATAGAAGAAATGTATAACATTAAAGAAGTTTATACAGTCCAAAAACACCCTATGATTTTGCATGGATGATGAGTTTACATACATGCCCATAAACAGGTTGATCAGGTAGCACAAGGCTATATAGGTGCACGAAAGTTGAACACTATAAGAAAGTATCAAACTAAAAATAGGAACCACTTTATCTGAATAGAATTCACATTGAATTTGAATTCAAACTCAGGAATGGCTTTATGCAGGCAATCAATTCAAGTTACATTAAGATCTAATTAAGAGACCTTCTTGATGGAGATCAGGTTGGAATAGGATAAATGATATAGCTTTTTTTTGAGATTTTTATTATTTAGATATTATTGTGTTTTTATCTTTTAGTAGTAGAGTTTGACTGGTAATCTTTGATTTTAGTGTTTTGGAGTTCCTTATATAAAGGGACTAATGTCATTATATTTTGTCAGAATTGGAATTGGTTGAATATTGAGAATAGCATTTCTCCTTTGTTCTGATTTCTCATCCCTTTTTTCTTCTCTTCTTATCCCTTTCTTCTTCCTCTTCCTAATCTGGATCACTTCCCTATCTGTTTCTAAGAATGAGGGCAGTGTTTGCAAAATTTCTCTGAACAATCATTGTGAGTTCATATATAAAAAGGCAGAAGGTGTTACATTGTCTAGCCAAGATGGACATACTGTAAAGGATATTTCGGTGGAAGGAAAGATCCATATTTCTCTACACAGAAATTCATCAGAAGGTTTGTTGGAAAGATATGTTCTTAGATGTGATCTTGTGGCCTTCTACATTTTGTTATGTCGTCAGAAAAGGGGAATCAGATACAAAATCCCATCTGCCAGGCAGATAATCTAGTTTTGCATGCATGTGTATGTGTGTGCATGAGCACAATGTTGAACCAACTAGCTTAAAAAGAAATATCGTAATCGTATTGAGTCTTCTTAAATCTGATTAGCATACAAGCAGATAGACTGGATAAATAGTCGAATCAGAGCCTAGTATGACACATGCTTTGCTTTAAAGATAACCTAGATCCTATGAAACGACTAATTTGTTGTGCCTACATAGAAACATTATATCGAGGTGATATGGGCTCCAAATTCTAAGAAGTTGAAACTGAATTCATGCTTACTGTATGCCAAAAAAAAAAAACTGGGAATTTTCTACTTAAGCAACAAAGAAAAGATATTTACTCTCTTCAAACGGCGGTGCTTTGCAAGGGCCCAGTTGGTCATGATGGAAGCGGCAACCACCATAAAGATATAGCCTGAAACAGTCTGTGTCGCAATATTGAAGCCCAGCCACTGATAAATCTCTGTTGTGTAATTTGCACATGTCACAACATTGAACAAAAATCCACGTGGGATTTGGTACCCTCCACTCCCATTGGGACTCCGAAGATTTCTCAACAACAAATGGCAATAGAAGTTTGCAACTTGACAAACTACTCCAAACCCAAAGCCGACCTTCATTTGGAGATCACTTACAGGAGTATAAAGTGGATGATTTGCATAGTAAGCGATATAGGCCCCGAAGGTCCAGTAATATGCACAGTTCCGAAACACATTTGAAAGTGGTGAAGTTGCATGGCTGAAATGATGCACAAAAAATGTTTCCATGATACGTTTGAAGTAGTGGAAGCACCAGTAGTATAAGGCATATGTCTGAACTGGGTGGATGACACGCTCTCCTCTATAGCCAAAGAAATGGTACACAGGGAAGTAGTAAAAGATAGGGTAGATCACCAAAGGACCCAAGTATTCCCAGAAGAAAAGTGTACGGTAGGAAACCTGTGTACCAAGGTCCTTGAACACAACAGTTAATTTGTCAGTGTTTCCGTCACTATACTCTTTGAGACATTTCTTTGATTGAAGAACTGTAGGTTTCTCCTTTGATCCCGGTTGGAGAGGGATGGTTAGTCGCTGTCTGGAAGGATGGTATTTCTTGGCTGTTGATATAAGACAAGATATCAGATCACTTTTAGTCGTGTGAAAAATAAAGCAAGGATTTTTTTTTTGGGGGGAGCTCAAAATCAAACAAGTAAATGGACCCATAAGAACAAGCATAGAACTAGTAGTGAGAGAATTGGTTATTAATCACTACATCAGGCATGCTATATTCTGATGAAAATATATTACCAGGGAATATAAATTTCAAGGAGACTATTCTGATTTTCTTCTAGATATGCACAAATTCACAGCACTACAAACCATAGAACATCCAAAAGCATATGTTTTTGAGAATGAGATAAAACAACCACCACAAATATCCACATATTAGCAAACCCTCAGTAAATGGTAAGTCGACCCCTTACAAATCATCAGCATTTTGAATGGTATCCAAGTATTGCTAATCCACAAATTAGCAATACTTGGATTTTAGGATCACAAGGAGGTGCCAACATGAATGTATATTCTGACACCACAGTAGACTTAACCATCAAATCATCGGCATTTTGAAAGGTAGGCAGCTAGATTATGCACTTGTGCCATGTAGATTGTGACTAACAATTTCAAAACCAAGATAAGCTAAAGGCGCATCCTCTTTAATCTGGTGTATGATGATCACATGAAATGAAACATGATAGAGGAAGAATCAAGCTAAGAAGCAGTTCTCTCCATTGTGCCATAAATGGCATCATGGTGGACTTGGGAGTCAGTCAAGGACAATTCATTGATTACCATTAAATAATCAAAACTGTATTTGACATTCTTAAGACAGGTAAATACTGAACTCTCTTCTTTTCCCATTCAAGTACATACAATGACTATGATACAAAAAGCCTAACATGAGTTGCTATTTATGACAAGATGCTAAGAATTGGTATAAATTTCCTCAAACAATGTTTTATGATCAGTAAATAGGGACAGCTGTAGGATCCTAGTCAAAATGCCCTTTAAAATAGCGTCCTAAACCAAATGACTTTGCTCCTATACCACACTAGGACAATTAATCAAATGAGTTATGCCCACAGAAAGCTTCACAATTTCATCCTACAGAAATAATTATATGCATTAGGAATTGTGTTTCTCTTCCTGATTGTATTGCCATATCTGTGTTTCAAAAAATTCTATACAAGCTTTCAGGTGTTTTGCTGGCTGTAAAGTAATAAGAAAATCGAAAGCTACTTTCATTGGCGAAGTAGAATTTCATTATACCCTTCTTAGCCCTGAAAATCCTACTCCGAGGCACGAGAAGAATGGTTATAAAACCTTTTAATATATCTTCCAATTTCCTCACAGCACTTCAAACTCAAAAACATTGGAATAAACATATTTTACTATAATATCATTTAAACTTTGGTAACTTAGTTATATTGGACTTTAGTATGTAGTTTGTTTATGGAGGCAGAATTTCATTTTACCTTTCTTAGCCCTTAAAAATTATACTCGGAGGCAAGAGAAGAATGGTTATAAAACTTTTTAAATATACATTCCAATTTTCTCAGCGCACTTCAGTAAATAAGTTATATTGGACTCTAGTATATAATTTATTTATGGATACAAGCTTTTTGTTTCTTATTCTAACTTATGGACTTTCACTATGGTCTTTCGGATGGCCTCCTAATCTTAATTTCTGGATTTGCGCCTATGTGCACGTAGGTATCTTTGTGTAAACTTCTATTTTTCCACCAAATTGATAGTTTTGACTGAACATGGTTGGAAAGTATCTCCTTTATGTTCATGATTCTTGAGAAAAAATATAGAGACATTGCCGTGCAGCTCCTAATGAACTACAATAGAAGGCTATTTTTATCAACTAAAGTGAAAGAAAAAAAAAAAACTTTGCATATGCAGTAGAGAGATCTCATTAGCTAACCCAGAAATTGAAAGTTGAACCCATCCTAATTAAAGAAATTGCTTGAGCAGCTGAAAAGCCTTACATTGCACACTCCTTTTTAAAGAAATTGCTTGCGCTGCTTTTGATCAGCTCTAAGAGAATTTGCATCCTTCAAAATTATTTCTTTCTTATAAAAATTATACATTCAAATCGAACAACTGGGTTCAGACAATGTTTATGTATATCGAACAGCTGGGCCATGGTTGCTTTAGTCTAGGCTATTTACAACAGTTGTTCTTTTTTGGTCCATTGACAGGGCAATTCAGCGGGGTAGCCCTCACTTCCCCCTCCGTATGAATTCCAGATCTCTAATACGATTAACTTAGAGATTTCACCAGATAAACTAGCAGGCATTTTCATCAAAAATAATTTCACAGTAGTAATAGAAGCATGATAAATATTGCTTACTTCGCTTATAAATTGCCTCCTGAAGATCAGCCACAGTAGCCTGCAAAATCAACCCAAATTTTAATGTCACTCATAATTGAGAAACGAAAGCAGACCCAGATGAGGAAAAGAGAAAGAAAATACCGAATCATTGAGCTCTAGACCCCCTTTGAAGAATTCTTTGCCGCTTCTTGTAATTACCGCCACCTTCATTCGCGAAGATGAGAAAAACCCAGAACCAGAAACAAAGCAAACAACGAACCCTCTCAAGATCAACGAAGACAGAGTCTGAGGATTTGCTTATAAAATGATAAATGTGCCGTGAACCCCGAGTCTTAAATGCCTAGTTGAGCAGTTTAGGGAGGTATAGATAGGCCAGTGAGGTCCACTGCGTGTTATATCCGAAGTTGTAAATGTGAGTAATCAATGGCGTATGGTTTGTGGTTGGGGCAGATGAGCTAACCATTTAAGGCCGATGAACCACCGTCTTAATCATAGCCGAATAATTTTGGTAAGCAACACAGCTGACTTATGAAAGTTGTTAACATGGTCTTGCACGAAAGGATTTTAGAAACAATAACATCCACATTTCTTACCGACTCTTCTTTACTAGGAATTAGACGACTTGATTTTTGTGTATAGCAATACTTGGTTGGATTACACCTGTGATTCCTCCATTACAGATTAGGATGGGTCTGATGTGCATCCGGGATAGATAAATGATATAGATGCTACAACTTTTTTGAATTGAAATCCTCGTGTCATTCCAGGTGTATGGCAGAGCAGTCATGTCAATAACGACCTCCTTACAGGGTAACTTCGAGCTATGCAATGATAAACCCGGCTCAGAATCGAACATTTAATGAGGCACATCTCGGGTATTACCTGAGTGGTCCACGCTGCACTCCTGGTTATCAATGAGATATATACGCTAATGCACATTTCTTTCAGTAGATATTGAATAAATCAAATTAACAACTAAATATAAATATACCGTTGTAATCTGAAGCATTTATATCAACTTCAACACTCTGTTTTTTAACGGAAGGATCAGTTCGTGAATGCACCAACTTTCAATCTCACATAAAGTAAAATGGACTATGACTACGATTCATAAACACCAATTTAAGCCTGATGAAGGCGAAACTAACCGGTCATCAGTACCAACGAATGGTCATCCACACCTTCTAGATCTCAGAATAATTCGTCGACATATATATATATATACAGTCACCACATATATCTCATCGCAAAAAGAGGTTTAAATGTTATAGAATAAAAATTCTCCTAATATGTGTGGATTATAACCAGAACATTCTTAAAAATAATCAGTACAGAATCACATCAAGGTAAAACTCAACAAAGAACAACATAGGCAAACAGTTATGACTTCTGAGAGCTAACATACACCTCCAAAACCAACAGCAAATAAAGTATGATAATCTGTATATTCATCAAATCAAATGGGGAAAAAGGTAAAAAGAGCACTGGTATTTTGCAATTTGGAGATTATAAACCACATGTAAAAACCCAACTCCCAAGACAAATAGCATTTTCCAACGTTATTTTATCCTTCTCAAGGGATACACAACCAAAGGTTCATTATATAAAGGGTATATCATGAACTGCATATTGCCAATGTTTGTGATGTAAGACAAACTATTGTTAATTTCAGAAATGGCTCAATATACACTACGAACTTAAAAATAAATACGCAGATGAAAACTGAGAGTTCCATAATCTACAATTGGGATGTCTCACTAAACAACTTTGCATATATCTTCATATTCAACAGCCTGAAGAACTCTCCCATCATATAGTCCCTTCTCAATCTGCACCTTTGCACAAAAATTATCTGTATCTACCACCAGCAACCTTGCATTTGATCCACGATATGCACCATTAACTATCCTCACAAGGCCACCAATTTGGGGAATCACAGTTTCAAGCTCTTCTTGATCGACTCTCAGCACATGCTTACTCTCAAGCATCTCAATTTCCCCAACATACTTATCAATCACCTTTTGGACAACACCCTTTTGCTTATAGTAACCCTTCTCAGCCAATGCCTTACTAACTACCTTCACGATAATCCCCTCACACAACCAGTAATCCTTCCTGTTACTCCACTCTTTCGCCTTCTCCTGCTCTCTCATCAATTCATCCAATGCCGATCTCCCACCACCGTTACCAGTCTTTCCCAATTTGCCATTATTTTTACCCTTACCACTCTTTTTATCCTCCTCAACATCCTTGAACACCAATATCGAGCTCTCGGGCTTCTCTTTCCCAGCAGCTTTCGAAGATGAACCAAGACTCAATGAAACTTTCTGACCATTCTCCAATTTTAACAATTTTGGCTGTGACTCTGAAGGCTGCGGATCAGACCCATTAGGCTCTGTCATCAACTGTTCTGCACGCTCAATCTGCTTCATAATCTCTCTCTCTTGCTTCTCTTCATCCGCTAGATCCGCTTTTATTCTCTTATTTTTCAACTTTTCCTTTAAAAGGGTCTCTGAATCTCTATCTATGTAAGTAATGAACCACCCCTTTGGGGTCTCATCAACTTTACACTTCCCCATCCTCCCCAAATACTTCACAAACTCAGTCAATGTTGCCCATTGCGTGGAATTCATATGAACATGATGCCGGTCAGCTATATATTCATTGTATACTACTGTGGCGGCCACACGGCTGAATCGGTGGCTCCGTTTCATGTGCTCCAAAAATTCGTTTTCAAACTCCTCGGAGTATCCATCAACGATTCGGTTAGGGTTTTGGCCGAAGACCTCCATTTGGCGCTGGTGGGACTCGCTCATGCAGTGACACTTGAATCCATTCTCGTCTCGGCATTGTTTCTGGCACATCTGGCAGTACCATCGGAGCTTCTGCAGACCCTTTGCTTTGATTCGGTTCGCAATTGCCTTTGGAGTTAGAAAATCGTTCTTCCCCATTTGATTTTCGAACAAAATCAGAAATTTCCTCAGCAATCAAACAAATGAGGATAATTTGAAGCGCTCGTCCACAAATTAGCTGCAAAGGTTAGCATGAAATTTATAAGACAACGATAAGGAAACCCTAAAATAACTTCCCAAATTCATATATTACACAATAGACAAAAATCAGAAAAGGTCTCAGCAATCACACACAACAGACACTTTAATTCACTATACTCTAGTTTGACAATCGGATGCAATGTTGGAGGCTGTGGTGAAAAAATTCAAAATTCTACAAAAATGCCCAAATCAAAATTAGAAAATCTTATGCATGCATATATGAGTGTGTGTGTGTGTGTGTGTGAGAGAGAGAGAGAGAGAGAGAGAAAGAGAGAGACTTTACTTGAATCATGAAGCAGAGGTCGAAGGAGATCAGGAGGAAACCTACCGGAATTGGATTGAATTCGTTTCATTCCTTTGATAAGACCTAGCATTGCGGGCCAGGTTGGAATCATTGGGCGGCGATTAATACCAGACCATGATATATTGGGTTCATAAAAAATGGGTCATTGAACAAAATCCATAAGGTCATAGTTACTAGTATTGTACGAAATGTGATATGATACATAAAATACATTATGATACATGAAAAAAATGATACGCGCTCAAATGTATCAGCACTTAAGTGCATCGGTTTGCATCATATCATATGACACACGATACGATACACTCGATATACTAGCCGATACGTATGAGTCGTCCAATACGAGATGAAAATGATCAAAAAAAATTTCTCTGAGTATTAACTAGAAAATGATAGGTTTGCATTTGGAAGTAATTTTTTCAAACACTAGGTAATAAAACGATGTCATTTCTACAGTTTTTAAGAAATAAAAGTCTTCTTTTTTATTCGTTCTATTGCAAGATTAAATAGTTTTATTGTTAAAAGTGTTATACATTGGCTACTTTAGATGTTAGAACTAAAACTCGCTAAATTTTCATATTGATGAATTATGTTATACTTAGATTGCTAATTTTTTTTATTTTGGTCCTTGTAATCTTTTTAAATTGGTTTACATGAGAAATTTGTGATACAATGAAATGTTATTATGACATTTTTTCATAAATAAATGTATTTTTTAATATCTTTTTATAAAACTGTAAGTCTCTTACGATACACGATATGTTACGATACGCGCTAAGTTATGATATACTGTTGTAGAAAAATGATACGTCTTCTGATACATGTTTTGACAACCTTGTATAAGGCCCATAACACCAGGCGCCTTTTTCTCCGAAACAAAACGATTCACCAATTCCACCAAAGCCTTTAGATAAAAATCAATACTATACTTCTTTATTCAAACAATCTTCACAATCTATTATGGAGGAAATCTTAGATTCTATTCTTGAAACAAAATGTGGTTTTTTATGAGGGAGAAGCGACTGTATACTTTACAAAGGAGGAGATTAAAAATTCATGCAATTCTTTGCCGCACATGTTGATTTGAAAGTGTCTATGGTTACGGTAAATTCAAATTATGGGAAAGTTCCAAAGGTTTATGCCCAGCATAATGAGAAAATTTCTTCCCAAGTATATCAGGAATTGAATTTCATGAGTGCACCTTCCCTAAACCTCACAGTTTATCCTCCATCAGGAAACAAACCTCTTAGCCGTTTGGGTCCTTGTATTCTCAAATACTCAGGATTATTCTATACAGACAAATGGCAATGCAACGGTTTATCAACCAATTATTATTCACTCTTTGGAGACACTGTCCAGAATTCGTGGTGCGTTAACCGAGATGATCCTTGTCTATGGAGGATATTTCTACTACTGAAGAGCATCTCGTTCAGAAGGAGAGTATCCAAGAATTGGTGGATAAAGGGCAGTAGCTACTAAGGTGAATCAAAGGAAAACCGAAAGCAAAGGCACATCCTGCTCGGGTCACAAAAGTTGCTCCCAACTCCTCTATTACCTCTATTTCTCATCCGAATGTTTAAGATCATTACATAGAATATTAGAGGCTCAGAGGTTGAAGACTCTGTAAGGTGTCTCCAAAATTTGGTAAAGGATAATGGTGTTTCTATGGTGGCTGTTTTGGAACCATTAAATGATCCATGCAAGATTAGGCATTTTTGGAAGAAGAATAAATATGGATTCGTATGTTGCAAATATATATGCCGAGAGCAAAATGTGGCTGTACTGGGATTCTCAGATGGGAGTTTAAGTTTTGGATTTTCATTCATAATCCATGTCGGTAGAAGTTTCTTTCTTGGGATCAAATCCGTTTGGAGTTTCAATTGTGTATGCTAGCTATAAATATCTTATCCGAAGGCAATTGTGGCAGCATCGTCTCTCTATTGTCCAGCCTAATATACCTTGGATGGTGGTAGGAGATTTAAGGTCGTCACTTCTTTGATTGAGAGTTCAGGAGGAGCTACGCCGAGTTTTCAAGCAATGGAAGATTTCTCTTCTTTCATTAATAATGCACGCCTCCTTGATTGTGGTTTTGTGGGTAGTCGATATACTTTGTGTAACAATCATCAAGAGAGAGCAGAATCTGGTCTAGAATTGATAGAGCAATGATAAACTCAAAGTGCCAGTTGAGGTTTTCCATAACTGAGGTGGTGCATGTGGCAAGAGGCTCATTTGATCATTCCACTCTTATCATTAATTATCAAGCTAGGATCTCTAATTTTCGTTTCCAGGATAAGTGGGAAGAGCGTGAAGGTTTTTTACTACTAGTGAAACTCAATTGGGGTGGTCATTCTTACAGAGAGTGAAGCTGGGTTTAAAATGATGGAACAGGGAAGTTTTTGGCAATATTTTTCACAGAATCAAGGAGCTGGAAGAAAAGGTATTACAAGCAGAGTTGGCTCAAGAACAAGGGAATGAGGGACCTGCCAATGAAGATATTTGTTTAGCTAGAAAGGAGCTCAATAATGCTTTGGAATTGGAACAAGTTTTTTGGAAAGAAAAGGCTAACATTAAGTGGTTTGAAGAGATTTATCCAAAAAAAGTGGTTTGAAAAGGGTGACCGAAATACCCAATTTTTCACATGATGGCCAAGTAGAAATCCCAAAAAAATGTTATTCTAAGAATTAAGGATCCACTGGGAGAATGGACAGACTCAAGAGAGGATATGGCAAGAGGATCAGAGGAGTTTTTTTCAAATCTTTATGTACCATAGCAGCACTTTGTGGGCCCTCAAGTTCTATCAATAATTCTGAATTTAATTACGGAGGCGGATAATGATTCCTTAACTTAGAGTGTTACAATGGAGGAGGTTAAGGAAGTGGTTTTTTTTATGTCTTCTATTAGTGCTCCGGGTCCAGATGATTTTTCTGGGAAATTCTCTCAAGTAACATGGCATATTATTAAAGAGGATTTGTTAAAGGCAGTAATTTTTTTCTTGAATGGAGGTACAACTCCAAGGACAGTGAGTGAATGCAACTTTGTTGTGCTCAATACCTAAGGTTGTGGTTCCAGAATCCTTCTCAGATTTTCGGCCTATAAGTCTTTCTAACTTTGTATACAAGATTTTCACTAAGTTGTTGGCGAATAGGCTCTCTCCAATTCTTCCACGAATAATATCTAGTGAGCAACATAGGTTTTTAATGGAAGATCTATTAGTGATTGCATCTCTTTGGCGCAATTATTGGTGAACAATTTGGACAAAAAGTGGAGGGACATAACATGATTTTGAAATTGGGTATGATGAAAGCTTAAGATCGATTGGAATGGGATTTCTTGTTTGTTGTCTTGAAGTCCTTTTGTTTCTTTGAGAAGTTTATAATCTTAATTTCAAATTGCATGAGGAATCAATTTATTTCTATTTCTTTTAATGGAGAATAAATTGGTTTTTTCCCCTACATCTCGTGGTCTTCGTCAAGGGGATCCATTATCACCTTCTCTTTTCATTATTGTTGAAGAGGTTCTAAGTAGAGGCATTTATAAATTCTATAGACAAGAACTGGTTAAGAATTTTCACTTGGGTGAGGAAGCATTTCAAACACTCACCTTTTTACCGATGGTACATTACTTTTTATTTGTGGAGATAAGAGATCATTTTCGAATATTTTGAAGTCAGTCACACAATGTATTAGGACTTTTCTAGACAGAAAGTGAACAAACTAAAGAGTTCTATGTATTTATCGTCTAGATTTATGCATGCTAGGAAGAGTAGGTTGATTGTTATCCCTGATAGTCCATGTAAATCAGGTCCTATTCTTTATTTGAGATGTCCATTGATTTTTTGGTAAAGAGAAGGGAAAGGATAGGAAGGATTTGAACTCTTGATCTCAAGAAGGCAAAGCCTTTACAAAACAAGGAGTACCATTGGTCAAAAAGTCCACTAATTAGAGGGAGAGCCAATAATATATATTAGCAAGAGATTATTCAAAAATTCAGGGCCAGAGTGGAAAGGTGGTCCTCAAAACTCCTTTCTAATTTGGCAAATTGGTGTTGATAAAATCAATTTTAATGCAATTCCTACACACTTGTTGGCATGCTTGAATTTGCTTAACACTGTGTTTGGTATGGTAGAAAATTGGGTGTATGGAAAATGGAGGGTGAAAAATGGGAGGGAAGGAAAGTTTTTCCATTGTTTGGTTTTAAAGGAAAGTTGGCCGGAAACCTCATCCCTTCCGCCCACCATTTTCAATCCGTCCATTTTTGGGCGAGAAGTTGAAGAGAGGATGGGGGCTTTGAGTGGGGGCTAAGCTAATTTACTATAATACCCTTCAACCAATGAATTTATGTAATAAAGCAACTAGACTTTTTTTTTTTTTTTACTTTCCAGCACATTCTAGAACCATCTTCCATGTTTAACACTACAAAAAATCATTTATATTTTTCACTTGTCCAACTGAAATTATATATTTTTATATGGATTAAATTGAAAATATTAATTTGTTGGAATATATTTATTTGATAATATTATATAACAAATTAGTGCTTTGAACTTTTATGTCATTATAAAAATTATTTTCTTATTTAAGGGTATAATAGTAAATTAAAAGTGATTACTTTTGTCTTTCCTTTCCTTTTTCTTCTTATACCAAACAATGAAAAGTTTATCCCTTCAACTTTCTATCTATCATACCAAACAAAATGAAGAAGAAAAGGGTTTTTTCCTTCATGGATGAAAAGTTCATTCCTTCTATTTTTTATCCTTCCTATTTTTCATCCATCCAACCAAACATACCATAAGGGAGTAATCATCTTCTAGATTAATTGGTAATGGTGGTTGAATAGATTTCTTGAAACATTCAAACTTTTCTTGCTTAATAGAGCAGCTTAGCATTAAATACTTTTAGTTGGAACAAAGTTGGCAATGCTTAGAAGGTTCAGGAATTACAACACCACCGACTTTTAAGTTGGCTAAGCAGCCTACAAATAGGCTAGGAATGTTTAGCATTGTGATGCATTTTGAACGATAAGGAGATTCGGCAGAGAGTGAATTAAGAGATGTTTTGATGTAATCATTACACCTTATTGAAAATACACTATCACCCTTTTTCTTTGAGCAATAAACACTTTATATTCTTTTTCTTGTGTTACACTTTGCACCCCAACAATTGTGATGTCAGAGCCAAGGTTTCAAATACCTCAAAGCATTTCCAAATAAATATCTACGATGGAAATTAACACTTCCACGTCCAATTATGCGCAAGCCCTTATTCCAATTTTTTAGGGAGAGAATTATTAGTATTAGAGTATCCAATTGAAGACCTTATTTATTTCACAAGATTTGTGGGATATAGTCGGAGTTGGATTAACAACACCAGCAAATAACGAAGAATTTGTAACATGATAAGATTTAGAAGAAATACAAGGAGAACAAAAAGAAAGATGCAACATCACTTCTTAATATTCAACGAGGGGTTAGCAAAATTATTTTTCCAAAAATACTGGGTGCAAAAACATAAAAGGAAGCCTGTGAAATATTGAAGATCGAGTATCAAGGATTTGATAAGGTAATCTCTATCAAGCTCCAAGCTTTATGACGAGATTTTGATAATCTGGTAATGAAGGAAAATGAATCAATCCAATAATTCTTTTCCGAGTTGCTGGTATTGTTGAAAAAGTCAAATCAGAAATTACAGAGATACCCTTTCAAACAAAAATATTGTTGAAAAAGTCCTACGGAGCCTACCTGCAAGATTCGAGTATATCATTGCAGCAATCGAGGAAGCCAACGATTTATCAAAATTGACTCGACATGAATTAATGAGTTCTCTAGAAGCACACGAGAAACGGATGAGCAGATTCACAAATCAGTCTTTGGAACAATCATTCCAGTCCAAAGTCAATATTGCATAATCAAGCAATTAAAAAACAGAGCAAAAAAATCAAGGCAGTATAGAAGAGGTTCTGGAAGACAAAATTCATTTCAAGCTCGAGACAGAGGAGGAGGCTACACCAATCAAAGGAATTCTAATCGCAATTCTGATTATCAATGTATTATTTGCAAAATATTCAACCATCCTGCCAAAGATTGCAGTTTTAGATGCAAGAATTGCAAAGTATGAAATCATTCCCAACGAGATTGTTGGTTCAACCGTAACAAGACAAATTATTCAGAAGCAAAGGAAGGAGATATCATGCTCTCTTGTATGAATATTCAACAAGAGTCAGAAAATACGTGGTATTTAGATAGCGGATGTAGCAATCATATGACCGGAAACCAAAAGATATTTATAGAGCTCGATGAAAAAGTTTCCTCTCCAGTAAAGCTTGGCGATGGAATGCTGCAAAACGTCGCAGGGAAAGGAGTTATTGTAGTCTACACAAAAGGAGGTAATTGAAAATTTGTTACTGATGTTCTTTATATTCCTGGACTGACTCAGAATTTATTAAGTGTTGGACAACTGCTTCAGAAAGGATATGTCTTTAGCTTTGATAATGATGGCTGCGTTATTTTTGACAAAAGAATAGCCAAATGGTGGCAAAGGTTGAAATGACTCCAAATAAAGTTTTTCCTCTTGTTATGCCACTGGATGAAAATCTTACACTTCAAATTGAGAAAATTAGTGATTCTTATTTATGGCACTTGAAATATAGGTTTCTAAATTATAGAGACCTAAGACTACTGAAAGAAAAATGTATGGTGCATGGTCTACTACCTTGTATAGACAGAATTGATAAAGTTTACGAAAGTCGTATTTATGGGAAAATGCATTGTCTACCATTCCCAAAGACATCTTGACGAGCTAAAACACTATTGGAGTTATTACATGCTGAT